ATGATTGATGGAGAATCAAGTAAAGCTGAGCTGCTTCAGTCCAGTAAGTGTTCATCTGGAGATATTACTGCAGTTATTCTGACCTTTACTTGATCAAAATCAGTCCAGATTTGACTCGTGAAGCTCCAGCTCCAGAATTACACTGAAAGAGCTTCGACTGGATAAAACTCTAAACTCTCAATCAGAGACAGAAGACGTGCAGCAGATTGAGTGACAGCAGAGTTTGATGGCTTCGAGGTGTGTGTGTGACCATGTGACGCAGGTGATCTCTGACCCGAGTCCTCCGGCGAGCAGCGCGCTCATGCTGCGTGTGAGAGTGCAGTGCTGCACCATGCTCTCCAGCGCTCGCTCCACGTCTTGTCTGATGAAGGCGTTGCATTCTCCGGCTTTCTGCAGCAGAGCTCTGACCGTCCCATCCAGCTCCTGATCCATTCCCTTCTGCAGCACCGCGAACATCTCTCCCAGCGTCACCACAGCCACACGAGACACGCCGGAGCGCAGGTTACGAACCTTCATCAGAGAGAGACACACATGAGATCAATCACGAGAAGAGTTTGTTTCATCACTAATTACCACTGTTACTTCCATGATTTATGAATGCGATGCTGCTCTGAATCAATGTTTGCAAGCGTGAGCTGCAGTAGTGACTGACCTCCTGAATGAGAGCGAGACACACGTCATGAATCCTGCTCATGAGCACGTCAGGATGATACTGAGCCAAACTACGCAGGAAGTTCATCCCCTCGATCTTCTTCTCCCTTCACGAACAGAACAAATTTACGCTAAAGACTTTACAAGAGGATCTGTCGATCTCTCTGTGTGTGTGATGAATGATCACATTTGCTGTCAGACTCACCAGTCGTCTGAGGCGATCAGTCTGAAGCTCTGCGTCAGCGCCAGCTCCGGTTTAGAGAACGGCTGCAGGTCTTCCTGATTCTGACCCTCTTTCTTCAGACTCACAGGAATCAGCTCATCTGATGGACACACGTGAACAACAGCCTCAGTGACAGGCTGATCATATCTGACATGACATTCAGGAAGATTCTAGAAGCTTTTATCCAAATCAACCCGCGGTGCATTTATAGTAAACATGTCATCAGTGTGTTTCCTGGGAACTGAAGCCATGACCTTGTTGACCTTTGTGAGATACATCTACCATTTACTGACTAAAGCTGCGGTCACACTAGCAACATTTCAGTGAAGTTTTGCAGGAAAATAGTCCATTGTCAGTAGTGTAGTGATGTATGAAGCACAACCCAGACACTTTCAGTCACTTTAAAGCCAAGCAGCTTTCTGTGGGTCAACACGATGAATCTGCATGACTGACTGAAGGCAATGCGAAATATGCATGTAGAAATCTTTTAGATTCCTATTAAAATGACAGGACTTCGCCTGTAAAAATTCATCAAAAAAACAACAAAAAAAACCCAGTAAATGTGAGCGAGTTTTAACAGATGTGTTAGTTTCCTGTAGTATCACTGCTGCTCAAAAGTCTGGGGTTAGTAAGATTTTTCTGATGTTTCTGAAAGTAGTCTCGTCTGCTCGCAAGTGCTGCATTATTCACAGATGAACAGAAAGTTCAAAAGAACAGCATTTATTCGAAATAGAAATCTTTTGTAACATTATAAATGTCTTTACTGTCACTTTTCATCAATTTAATGTGTCATTGATGAATAAAAATATTGATTTTTTTTTTTTTAATCTGACTGACCCCAAACTTTTGAACAGTGATGTAAAGTCTGAAGCAGATTTAAATAAGTGTTTGCGTGATTTTATTGTTCTCTGCACATACAGTGTGTGTATATGTCTATATTTTCTCTCTCACCGGAGCTGTGTGACACAGGCGGTCTGGTGCGGTTCAAACTAGACGCTCGTCTCAGTCGGGGTGCTGCGTTCCTATTGGGCGGGCCGGTCGGGGGGGCGGGCTGATGGGCGGGGCTTAGAAATTTAACTGTATTCTGCGATCCAGTCGGGCTGGAGGGAGATTCATCAGAGAGCCACTCACAACCGTTCAGACTCCCGTCTGGAAAACAAACACAGAAACGGTGAGCACAGAGATGTCAGATGAGTGATGGCCGTCACTGCTGTTGACCTCTCACCTTTCACATCATCGATGAGCAGGCGGCGTCTCATTGGGTCCTGAGCGGGGGGCGTGTCCTGCCACTCCAGACGCCGCTGACGCATCTTGTCGCTCGCAAACCTAGAGAGTCTGACTCTCTCCTGTAACACACACAGATCACGTGACTCAGGATCACAGCGGAGGCTCGACTGAACGCCGTCGGTCTGTTTGAGATGCACCTCTGGTTCAGGACTGGCGTCAGACTCGAGAAGTGCGCTGGTGAAGGCGTGTCCGTACACGCCTGACGGAGGCTCACGGGTGATTTTACCGGCCGAGTCGCCCTGCTCAGGAGAAGACACCACACTGAGACGATTGGGCAGAACAGCCGAACCGAACACTCCTGCAGACATGAGGGAAGAAGACGAGCGAGGATGAGAGCGGCTGTGCTTTAGATCAGCTGACAGTAAAACAGCGGTGAACTGACCTCGTCCGATCACGCCCTCAGACATGTCACGACTGCACGACACGCGCTGCTGAGATCCTGAGAGAAACACTAGGCATTATTACATCAGAAACTACTCAACGGGACTCTCAAACATTATCAGACATTTTATACACCACCGGTCAAAGACTGGAAGAATTACGATTTTTTAAAATGTTTTTTGAAAGAAGCATTTCTGCTCAGCAAGGCTGCATTAATTTGATCAAAAATACAGTAAAAATAGTGAAATATTATTATAATTTCAAGTATCTGTTTTACTGTAATGTATTTCTGTGATGTGCAGCTGTATTTTCAGCATCATTACTCCAGTCTTCAGTGTCACATGATCTTCAGAAATCATTCTAATATGCTGATTTGCTGCTCAAGAAACATTTCTGATTATTATCAATGCTGAAAACAGTTGTGCTGCACAATATTTTTGTGGAAACCATGATACACTACACACTACATTTGGGGTCAGTAAGATTAAAAAAAAACAACAACCACAAAAATAAATTAATACTTTTATTCTTCAAGGACGCATTAAACTGATCAAAAGTACACACACACACACACACACACACACACACACAGAGGACAGGTAACACACTCACACACACACACACACACACAGAGGACAGGTAACACACACGTTTGACAGCACGTATGCAGCTGTGCTCGTGTGCTTCACATACACACCTCGAGCGCTGACGTCCCTCGTGACGTGTCTTCCTGATGGCACTCGTGGTTTCGCAGCAGAGTTCACAGGGCTAGACTCATGAAATAAACCAGAAATGAGAATTAAAACTTCTGTACAGAGCCAGCTTAATGTGAAACTGAAATTAATTCTTTCATGGCTAACTGTTTAAAATCGCTTGAATGTTATAACCGGTAAGGCTTAAAAACACTTGCAAAAGACTGCGAGGGCACAGCACTACAACATCACGTAACCACAATAGAGGCAAGCATCCAAAATCTCTGTCAGTTTATCATGTCTATAGAGCTCCGGAGGCTGACGTCACGCACTCTAAACTCCACCATACAAACTACGTGATTATATTTCATGAGTCCAACATCCCGCCATGCAAGAAAACATGCAATCTACCCGAGACGTGATCAATAAAGCCGTCTTTTATTGCAAAATAGAGAAAAAACATTTTACATTTAGGTAAGCTTCTTAACCTTGTAGTCTAGCTTACTCGTAAAACACACAAAATGACCAATAAAAAAAGTGTCAAGCACCAAAAGCATCCCATATTAAATCTATAAGCTATCTCCAATTCAAAAATACGCATTTTCATATATATATTTATATATACGCGATTGTCCCATAAAGCAAAGGGGAAATCATTATATTGTATTCCTAAGGATCCCGATAGACGACTAAAATGGTTCACTGCAATAAAACATGCTAACCAACACAAAATCTGGGATTAAACGGGTAAGATTTCATGACATTTATGATGTCTACTGTACTCACAGTGATATAGCTATGCTGGCTACCTACAAGGACAGCTAGGGTCGATTACGTTAGCTAACAACACAGTTGACTTACCCTTCCAGTGACGACATAGCAGGTTGAATATTCATCAAAAAATTAGATTGCGTCCATTTGTACCCCTCCAGGCTTTTGTAGGCTTTTAAAGAGTCTCCGGAGTAACGTTAGGTGGGAAAGTTGATGAGGTAGTTGTAGATATCAGGATACGAAATCTATCTGTTCCTTTATTGATAGGCTACACGTTAAAAGCACCACGGGGGCATTATAGGGATCTCTTATGCTTAATCTATTAAGTTTTACTACGTACAGGTCTACATGTCTTTTGAATTAAAGTACGCAGTAAACTCTGTTGCCTTGAAACTCATGCTGGCGTCATTCATTTCATATTCGCTCCCGGCTGTCTGCCAGCATGGTGGTGTAAACAGAATGGGTCACGTGACGTCCGGAGCTCTATTGGTATATAGCCAACCTCTAGGTTTGAGTGAATGATCTGGACTGGTTTACACCGGAGACGGAGCGACTGACCTGCTCTTGGTGCCGTTGGGTGACGGGGGCGAGTACAGGCTGCTCAGGCCGCTCTCGCTCAGAGGGCTGGTGACGGATGGAGATGTCTGCTCCGGAGAATCAGGAACCAGCTCCAGCTTCACCGCCGAGTCTGGACTGTCTAGATCCGGCTCAGAGCTGCTCGCGCTGACTTTGGCCCGCTTCTTAGCAGCGCTGTTCCTCAACGAGCGCAAGGAGTTCAGCATCTGAAAGAGCGACACACAGCTCAGAGTCACGGTCTGCTGACATCAGCGCACATACACACGTGTCAGAGCGTCACGCTCACCTCCTCGCGGTCCAGCGGCTCGTCCTCTGGCTCTCCTGCGCCGCTGCTGACCGACAGCTCCAGATGCAGGTTTCTGTCCAGGTGTTTGTCCGTCTGTCTGCTGGTGTTTGGGCTCTGACGGACGGATGGAGGCAGCGGAGAGCGTTTACTGCAGCTCACCTCACCTGTGACGCCATCAGAGGAGCTCGTTAATTAAGTATGTGAAGAAATGACATGGAAAATGCATGACATCATTTCCTTTTCAATGATAATAAATGGGTATTAATGTTTCTTCTCAAAAAGTGAATACTGAAATATAAAATGATTTAATAAAATGAAATGATACTCCAATTATGACACCAAATAATGCCAGTTTTAAAGGGGTCATGAACTGGGGAATCAAAATTCCCTTGATATTTTGACATATAACAGATCATTGTACTATAAAAGTTTCAGAACTCAAATCTTTCTTGTTAGTTTAAAATCAATTCTGTTATATCAAATCAATATCACATTTGCAATCATGCAGATATTGCATTAAAAATGCATTAAATACCTTAATCATTTTAACATTTTTCCAAAATTAATTGAACCAAATTAACAAGTTTAATCAATAGCCCCAAATATAATACAGTGCAGGGTTCGAGGCAAAAAAAGCTTTTTTTTCTGGCGTAAATGTAATCCATTCTGAAACAATAGTCTCATCAGTGCTCTACGAGGTCTTACTTTAATCAGCATATTTGTGATACTTGCCTTAAATTGATTTCTAGGACACTTTTTAACTTTACGAAGGGCAATATTTACCTAAACTTACTAAATGTACGTGTCATCATTTACGTCAAATTCTTACATTTTATCAATACATTCAGTTAGAATAATTAGACTCTGTATGGTTGTTACCATTCAAATGAAATCAGTATCAACACACTCCATCTTTCCACTGCAGCGGAAACACTGGAGCTGCATCGAAAGTGACATTTAGATGTATTTACTCAGACTGTTTCATGGAGATAAGATGTTCCATAAATGCATTTACAAAGTAAAATTGCAAATGCATAAATAATGTTATAAGATGAATGTTTTACTTTTTTTAACATTTAAATACGGAATGTTGGAAAATGCAATGATACTTTTAAATATGAAACCAAACCACCAGTAGGTGGCGGCAAGTCTTAATGAGTGAGTCACTGATTCAACCAATTCGTTCAAACGGCTAATTCATTCAATAAATAAAGCAAGTGACTTTTTTTATGAATGGCTCACTGAACCACTGACACATCATTCAAAATCAGAATCATTCTCACCAAAGTTTCGGTGCTGCCCTAGTTATTGTTTGTATTGATGTTTTAATGAGGTTACTTGTCCAGTTCACTTGCCCCTTCAGAAAATCCACTTGTCCCGGACAAGCGTTAATGTCGAGCCCTGCAGTGACTGAAGTAGTTTTGTGTTTGATTGTCATGAATGATTACTTGAACACCTTACTTAGTGGACTACTGATTCAGTTTGTTCTGTGGCTTGAGTCGAACAGCTCTGAGGCGTGTGTAGGTGTATGTAGTGCATGTGTCCTGACCAGCGATGTCGCTCCTGCGGTGAGGGCTGAAGTCATGTTTGTTGGGCCACGTGTTGGACATGGACAGCGAGGGGTCAGCGTGGTTTCTGCATGGTAAGGTCGGGGTCAGCAGACTCCCTGCTAGCACGGTCAGCGGGTACGAGGGCAGCAGAAACGAGCCCGGAGGTGTGGAGTTAGTCGGGAGGGAGAACGTTCGCTCAGCGCCGCCCGACGGGAAACGACTCGTCTTGGGCAAACCTGTGAAAGAAAGCCAAACACTCAATACCTTCAGTTCAAGGAAGAATGACAATGTGACAAACATAAAAACAAGTACTTAATATCACGCTTTAGTCAAAAATGAAACATGTTGCCTTTACAACTAACTAACTGAGGCAAAACTCACTAAATGGAAATAAAAAAAATTAATTAAAACTAAATATTAATTAAAAAAAAAACGAAAATAATAAATAAAAATAAAAGTTACATTAAAATATTAATAAAAAATATAATAATACTAAAATGACACAGATCCTAATTCATTATGGTTCCCAAACTCTACTGCCAACTTTGCAGAAACCTTTAATAAAATCACATTAAACTGTCATCTGAACATACAGTATGTTTCCCTGCAGCACAAAAGCAGTCTTAAGTCGCTGGGGTATATTTGTAGCAATAGCCAACAATACATTGTATGCGTCAAAATTATAGATTTTTCTTTTATGCCAAAAATCATTAGGATATTAAGTAAAGATCATGTTCCATGAAGATATTTTGTACATTTCCTACCGTAAATGTATTAAAACTTAATTTTTGATTAGTAATATGCATGGCTAAGAACTTAATTTGAACAACTTTAAAGATGATTTTCTCAATATTTAGATTTTTTTGCACCCTCAGATTCCAGATTTTCAAATAGTTGTATCTCGGCCAAATATTGTCCTATCCTAACAAACCATACATCAATGGAAAGCTTATTTATTCAGAAAAATTGACCCTTATGACTGGTTTTGTGGTCCAGGGTCACATATTTATAAAAGCTGGGTTCAGCACGACCTCGTCTGACACACGTGAGCGATCAGTGGCATCACCTTTCTCAGACTCGGAGGGATTGGTTGCTTTGAAAATGTCTGGATCCGAGTCCAAACTCCCGCTGCGGCGCAGTCGACCCAGTGACCTGCGAGTCCGGCCTGGAGACTGCAGAGGTTCTGATGGACCTGGACCAGAACAGAAGACGGTACAGTTATCTGTGGCTTCAGTGGATTAAACTCATGTTACCATCACTTTATTATTGTTATGTGTTATTGATGCCTTGATAAAATCAATTGTAGCACTCCATTCGTGTCATATAATCAATTCAACAAGAGGACGGATGGACTTCTGGGAAATAAAGCAGGGTTCAGTATATTATGAAGCTCTCTGTCAGCGTCTGCGTCTCTCAAGACAAGACTGAAGATCGTTCTTACTGTGTTTGGCACCTGTGTCCTGACGGAGTTTAATGGATGAGGACGGATCTCCACTGCTAACCTGCTGGAATAAACACATGACCTCAATCAGTCGGAGATAAATCAACACACATGCGTTCATCGTGACGTTTCTGATCAAAACCACATGAGACCTTCATCACAGAGATCTCATTGATCCACATCGACACACTCAACAGAAGAACTTTAAAACAGTTCAAATGCTTGAAAACCAAAAATGATCACCTATAGACTGCACTGCAAAAACTCATGTTCTTCCTCAGTGTTTGTCTTGTTTTCCAGAACAAATGTCTGAATACCCTTTAATCAAGAGACGTTTACTGGAGATGCAAAATGACATGAAGTTTTGCTTTCTGAGAAACTGTTCAAGTGAGTTTATGCTTAAAACAGGAACAAATATCTGTCAGTGGGGTCAGAAAAATAAACTTGTTTTCTCTTTGAATTACATTGATTTTTCTGACCCCACTGGCAGATATTTGTTCCTGTTTTAAGCATAAACTCACTTCATGTTGATCAATTTCTCTTCTTATCTAATGTTATTTTGCATATCCAGTACATTTAAAAATCTTTTTAGATTTTTACAGGAAAACAAGCCAGTTTTCAGTCTGTCCAAACATTGATCTGATGAACGCTGGTCCTCAGAAAGCCTCCATGTGCTGCTGGTGTTTGTTTGTCTCTCATCTGAAGTCTTGTTGTGTGTGAGTGTTGCTGGGAAACACTAGCGGATCACTGACACACACACACACACACACACACACGCATGCACACACATTGAGCTGTGAACAGCAGTGGATGAGAGGTGTCAGAGAGCGCTGATGATGAGGGTTAATGTGAAGTGAGGATGTGATGATGACCGCTAAATTGTCACACTCCTCCTCCTCTCACCGCAGTGTGAGATGTCAACAGAGTGTGATTTACTCTTGTGTCTACACTTTGCTCGGCACCCCATCCATTCTTTTCACATACTATCTAGGGGAGTAAGTGAAGTGAAGAAGAGAGAATGCCATTGCTCTTAGCTCCTTCATTACTTCTTCTCATCTGCCACTCCCCATCCCTCCCTTTCCAATCGGTTTCCCTTTTTTCCTTGCCTCATTTTCTCTGTCAACTGTAGACTTGGTCACGATCCTGGACTGAAAGTATTTGGCCCATTTATAAAGCGGTTGTATGAGTGCAGAGATGGATCTGACAATCACTTATATTCTGCTCTGCTCAGCAGAGTTACATAAAGTCCCCAACTGGACCTGTTAAAATGGAAGAAGACTCCTCGTCTGTAACCATTGATCTACTGTATTCACAATGTACCTTGCACATAAAGGGAGTTTTTATGAGCTTTAATGTAACTCGAAGAATCCACACACACACAGACACACACACTCTCTCACACACACACACACACACACACACACTCTGAATCAGGTCATGAGAGCCGTTCTGGCGGTCACACACACACCACCTCCAGTGAGCCGCAGCTAGACTAGTTAGTCCTTCACTCACTACTGAACTACTGCACTAAGAACACAAACAACCACAAATGAGCTTCACATGCAGGAATTTGTTGCATTATCATTCAACATCAATTTAACCCTGAAAGGCCTAATATATAAAATAATAGTCTGGAGAAGAAAAAAAAGGAGTATCATTTGTTCTATCAAGCTTTTATGGCTCATATACTCTGATCTAGTGAGAATGTGGAGGAAAAACAGCTCAATTTCATTCAAAGAAATACGAATCTGCTGCAGAAGCTGATATTTATATGATGAGATTCTGACGCTTGTAATGTAAATCAATGAGATCTTTATAACAGTACAGCAGATGCTGACATAAAATGATCTAAATATCAGTCGTGGCTCTATATCTCCAGTAATATAAGATGAAATTGAAATGCTCCAAACATATAATGCAGTGATTGAGAGCTGAAGAAATAAAGGCTCCTCAGAAGATGTGAGATGTTCTGGAGGCTTGTGAAGATCATTCCTCCGCTGAGGAACAGTGAAAGTAAAGCTTCTGGAAACAAACGCTCCTCAAAAGATCCTGAGGATCAGATTTGAGACTCTAAAATATGATTGATGGAGAATCAAGTAAAGCTGAGCTGCTTCAGTCCAGTAAGTGTTCATCTGGAGATATTACTGCAGTTATTCTGACGCTTACTTGATCAAAACCAGTCAAGATCGAGAATTACACTGAAAGAGCTTCGACTGCATAAAACTCTCTAAACTCTCAATCGGAGACAGAAGACGTGCAGCAGATTGAGTGACAGCAGAGTTTGATCATTTCAAAGCCTGAGAAACTTTTAGAGATCTCAGGTGTGTGTGTGATGATGCTGATGTCATCGCTCACCTGATCAGGTGACCCTCCATTGGTCTGAAGCTCCACAGAGAGGGCCGATCTCTCCCAGGGCAGTTTGTTCTTGCCAGCGCTCACCATCCTCCTCTGCTGAGGCGTGTTATCTGTCAGATCCACGTCTGAGCGAGAGCTGTGAACCCGGCCTCCATTCAGAACCCAGTCCAGATCGGCCCCGGAGCCCAGCTGAGGCGGCCGTCTCTGTCCCGGTCTGGGAAGAACCAGAGCATACTCTACCGTGCCGTCAGGGGACAGTCGAGGGAGTATGTGCCGCGCACGCCGCGCCTGTACAGCAGCCATGAGGCCCTCGGCGCCTCCGGCGAGCTCCACTCGATCCACGGCCTTCATGAGCGGCTGCTTCTTACCCGTGTCCAGACAGTAGTCGAAGACGGCGAAGAGCTCCAGAGCCGCGTGACGCACCTTCTTCTTGCTGTCGGCGAGCGCCGGCGCCGCTTCAGCGCACAAGCCGGGGATGTCGAAGTCCTTGCGCGGGTGTGTGAGCATGGCAGCCGTGATGATGTTGATGACGTCCTCTCGAACCCTGGAGTTCCTGTGCTTGAGCTGAGCCACCACCAGATCCAGAACCTTCTGCGGCCCCACCATCCTCATCAGCTGCCTGAAGACGCTCATGTACTCGTGCCGCGTCACGTTCCGCGAGTCACCCAGCGCTCGCACCGTCACGCCCACGATCTCCTTATAATAGCGCTCCACATCACACTCCAGCTTCTCGATCAGCAGGTTGATGAGCTGCAGCGCGCCGTACAACACCTTGAAGTTGCTGTCGTCCAGGAGCTCGCGTAAGAACTGGATGAACTCCACGATGCTGCCGGAGGAGACCTGCTGGAGATCCAGCTCCAGGAGGAGGTTCTTCAGCTCCTCCACGCCGCTGGTCCGCTTCTGATAGTTCTGGAGGTCCAGGAGCTGCGCGTGTAACTCCTGAGGAATCAGCCCATAAATCATCATGGATGCTGCTGATCAGAGTCCAGACGGAGGCAGGGACGCACGGGAATCGATCATGGTGATGAGGGACGGGAAGCGTCACATGATGCAGCGACAGACCTGGAATCCACAGGAAAACACTTTAGATCTAAACATGTGACCCTGCAGCACAAAAGCAGTCTTAAGCAGCACAAGTATATTTGTAGCAATAGCCAACAATACATTGTATGTGTCAAAATTATACATTTTTCTTTTATGCAAAAATCATTATGATATTAAGTAAAGATCATGTTCCATGAAGATATTTAGTAAATTTCCTACCGTAAATATATCAAAACTTAATGTTTGATTAGTAATATGCATTGCTAAGAACTTCATTTG